CTAAACCCTAAGCCCTGAACCCTAAGTCCTAAGCCCCAAACCCGTAACCGGTGTCAGGAACCCTGGAGCCGACTTCCTGAAACCTGTTGACGGTTTAGGGTTTAGGGTTTAGGGTTTTACACGTACGTGTAAAAAACAATTAACAACATGTTTAGGGTTTAGGGTTTAGGGTTTAGGGTTTAGGGTGTTTTTATAGGGGCCTTAATAATTAGAGTATCGGATTTCTACAACGGGCTCTTTAAAGGGTTCTGTAAGGGATCTGTAATCGGCTTCTATGGTAGAGGGGCTTCAATTAATTCGAACAGGGTTTGGGGGGTATACTGTAGCATATTTTCATTATTATAAGGAACTCCCACGCACCCATTCTAATTCTTAAGGCCCCTTTACCGTAGAAACCTAATCATTATGGATCCCGTGCAGAACGCTTTAAAGAGCCCATTATCGAAACCCCATGCTCTACTTATCAAGGCCCCTTTAGCATAGAAGCCGATTATAGATCCCTTACAGAACCTTTTAAAGAGCCCATTATAGGCCCCTACATTAGCGGAATCAGACGCCGGGTTCTTGCTAGAGACACCTGGCACGCTTAGGCAGGGGGCTACTTCACTGGGTTTAGGGTTTAGGGTTTAGCGTTTAGGGTTTAGGTTTCTTTAGCATTTCGGGTTTAGGGTTTAGGGCGATAGCACTTAAATTCTGCTATGATAGCACAAGCCCAAGCACTGATTAAGTATGTTACCCTAACTTGGGGCCTAGGGGGCCTGTAGCGTACACCGCAACACCAACCCCGAATGCATAAACTCTACACCGAAATCGATGGAGATCAGATGTGACAGCTTTAGGTGAGAGTTCAGGGAAGGGGTCAGTACGGCAGCAGTTCCATAAACAAGATGCGAGCAATGTACTTTACGGGTTGTGAAACCTGAAGCCCTTCCCTAAACCCTTAAACCCTAAGCCCCAAACCGTAAACCCTAAACCCTTAAACCCTTAACCCTTCTAAACTCTAAGCCCTCTCGGTTCCCAGAGTTCGAGCTTCCTGTCCACCAGGCCCGATGAACCGCAAGGTCATGAACGCCAATGCCTTGAACTACGACAAGGCTTGGGGTTTCGGGTTTAGGGTTTCGGGTTTGGGGTTTAGGGCCTGGGGTCAAGGCTAGACGCTAACCCCTAAACCCCTAAAATAAACCCTAAACCGAGGGGCGGTGTTCGACAGGTTCGGAGGGACCGTCACGACACTCCCTGAGAAAGAGACCCTGACGAAGAAGGCAGAAATCGAGACTTACTCGATTTCCAGTTGTGGATTGTAATTGAACAGCGACCAGCTGCATTCTCCCTAAACCCTAAACCGCTGAACCCTAAACCGCCAAACCGAAACCCGAAACCCTAAACCCTTGAACCCTAAACACCTAAACCCTGAACCTGTTGCGGCCTAATGTAGGAGCCGAAATACATTACCAATACTAGTTTAGGGTTCTCTATCATTAGAATGACAGTAGAATACCCCAAAACCCTATTCTAATTCATGGAGGCCCCTTTACCATAGAAAGAAGCCTATTATAGATCCCTTACGGAACCCTTTAAAGAGCCCATTATAGAAATCCATCCTATATTCTCGGGGACGCAGCCTTTACTGGACGATCGACTTTCTAGGTGCTACCTTGGGCCAGGAGAGAAGGAGGTGCAAGGATGCAATCGTCTCTTGTTTTAAGGATTAGGGTGTAGGGTCCAGGGTTTGGGGTTTAGGGGTTTAGGGTGTAGGGTTTAGGGTTTGGGGTGTAGGGTGTAGGTTTAGGGTTTAGGGTGTAGGGTTTAGGGTTTAGGGTCGAGGTTGTAGGATTTTGGGTCTAGGGCGTCCCTGACACAGGCCTTGCAAGAAGGGATCCTTGTATGAAGACGATTTCCTCCGGGGGTCTAAGCTCAGGCCCGCGATACCCTAAACTTCCCAGAAACCCCAAACCGGTTCTAACATTCTAGAACCCTTACAACCCCCTTTAAAGGAATCCGAGTTGTGGGCATGAAGGCCCCGTTTGCTACGTGAATGCTTGGGTTTTTGCTTGTGAGTTGTACTGCTCTGGGCTCTGGGGGTTTGGGCTGCTGGATGACGGAGGGTGGGGTTCAGGGTTTCTGGCGTTTTAGGGTGTATAGGGGTTTGGGCGTTTAGGGGTTTAGGGTCTAGGGTTTAGGGTTTAAGGCTTTAGGGTTTAGGGTTTGGGGGTGTAATGCCGTGGCAATGGTCAAGGCCATTGAGGACGAAATCCAGAAGCGCGAGAAGCAGTCCGAGCAGAACAGCGAGCCGGACATCACAAAGGACACCGAGAACGCTACAGACGCCACGCCAGAGGCTCGCGTGCTACGCGACACCACGGCCACCGTGGAGGGCGATGGTTGTTTGCACGAGGTCTGGGATGGCAGTGTCTTCGTGCTCGGCCAAAAACCGTGCAAAAGTTTTACGCTTTGTGTTCCAACCGCAGAAGGGACAGCCAAAGCCACTATCATGTATGACGCCAAGACGACTGGCGACAAGGTGATGAAGTTGCTTAGCACTTTTGGATTGGATTTAGGGGTCCAGGGTTTTTGAGTTTAGGGTGCGATGTTTCGCGCGTATTGTGACTCCAGACCTACGGCCAGATCCTTTGAATTTTTTCATCTCCGGTCTTCTAAACCCAGGTGTCTCGAATCTCTTTTGTTTAGGGTTTAGGGTTTAGGGTTTACGGTTTCGGGTTTAGGGTTTAGGGTTTAAGTTTGTAGGAGAGAGCATCTAGCACCTTGAAGCCAACTGAACCCTAAACCCTAAAACCCCAAACTCCAAACCCTAAGCCCAAAAAGCCCAAACCCTGTATACCAGTGCCGTCAAACGGGTCTGATTCTGGCTGCCTCCTCACAAGATACTAGAGTATAGGGGCCTAAATAATGACCTGTACTATTTTGGGGGTTCCTCATGATAATTATAGTATAATGGGCCCCAAAACCCTAGTCTAATTCT